GCATGTAATTTTTTAATGATTTTAATATGCTGATATATTATTATAAAATGCTCAATGAAAATTTTAAAAAACAAACTATTTCGATTTTATTTTTATTTATTATCTTGGTATTTTGTCTTTTTAATAAATCCATGAACAAAGGGTTGTTTTAATTCTGTGGTTATGAAGGTATAAAAAGTACATGAAACTATGACGTAATCAAAATTCTATCATCAAAAACAAATGACAAATTGTCAAGTTTCCTGATTTATTTCTTTGTGATTTACACCATTGTAGAATTTAACAAATAGTACCTTGACTTTGTTGCGTTTAGTACTGAGTATTGTTTTTTTGAATTTTCAAAAAAAATGTGTATAAAATATTACATGGGATCCAAAAGATAAACATGGCACATGATGGCCAAGTAAAATTTGAAGTGTTTCATTTGTATTTAATACAAAATAGAGTTAACAAATAAAATCACTGTAGTGATCAGTTTCATAGAGTTATATCATGATTTGTGTGAAAGATCAGTCAAAAAAATAAATTTTAAGATCTGCGAACAGGAAAAATAAAAAATAAAACAACACATCCTATCTCTTCACCATCTCACCAAAAATGCAATCCACCTCGGCAAAAAAGCAAAAGCTCGGTGTCCTCCAGAACATGTGACAACGAAAAAGGAGTCAATGACCTAAAAGTTAATCAAGGCCATTTCTCGTCCAAATTCAATGAACCGAAACCGTGTAACGAAATTTTTTTCATTCATCCGCATGGTGGTACAAATCACCAGAGCACGTACAAGTGGGTCCAGCCATAGAGGCTATGAATGGTTGCCACGTCGGGCTGAGCTGTCATTCCACGTCGGATCGCTCGAAGATCTGCGTGGCGGTACGGATAGTGGAATCAGCTGGGCGCCACTTGGCGGAGCCGCATTGGGACGTGGTCCTGAAGATATGGATAGTGGATAAGGGAGGGGGGAAGACTTGGCATTACTATTGGAATTTGTGAGAGTGATAATTTCAAAAGCTGGACAGAATATAATAAAATAAAACTTTTTTGATAACAAATATGGAAATTTGACACGAACTGAATGTAAGAACCTTACACCAGTGTGTGTGTGTGTGTGTGTGTGTATATATATATATATACTTCTTTTTCTTTTTTGGTTATTTTATTTTATTTTATTTTGCATTATTTTGCGAAATAATGCAAAATAAATGAAAAATAAAAAACTTTTAAAAAAAATCCTTGTTAAATTTAATACCGTGTATATATATATATATATATATATGGAAATTAAATGTAAGTAAAATAATGGTTGGAAAAACATATTGAATATCAGTAATTAGAATTGTAGGACATCATATGATAGAATTTGTAGATGATACAATTCATTCAGCAGTTGAATACCAAAATATTGGTAATTTATTTTATACGTGCTGGAGTAAAATTAGCTTTTATATAATATTATTTTTTCAAGAAACCACCAACACATGAAAAACATAGCTACTTTTTTCATATTTTATTTTGTCTCTAACCACTTCAAAAATCGGTTTTTTTCCCTTTTTTTTTTTCTCTCTCTCTCTCTCTCTCTCTCTCTCTCTCTTTTAAAAAACATAATCATTTTTGCACTTTATATCATTAAAGTTCTTTAAACCTAAATTTTCAAACAAAGTGCTCTTGTTGCTTGATATGAAAGAACTCCCTCAAATAAAGGTGCATATTAGTTTCTTTTCACGATGTTATTTGCCTCTTTACAAGTTTTATTTATAGTCTGTAAATTTTTACAAAATTGATCATTATTAGCAGGGGTTGTTATTGTTGATTTTGAAAAGTATAAAACTTTTTTGAAATGTTTATATAATTTTGATTTTGTTTAATTTGCCAAAGATAGTAGCTTGTATGGTGTTTGAGATTTCTTGAAATGGTGCCATTTTTACCATAATATCAATATTAAAGTTGTTTGTCAATGTTTTTATTATTAGATATAATCAGCTTCTATATATATATATATATATATATATAATCGCAAGTACCAAAAATGAAATACACCTGATTTGTAAAATAATAAAATTAATTGCACTAGAATATAGTTACATGCATAGAATTATATAATAGTGAAGGAGTATATCAATATTAGAGTGAACATAAAATATTGAAAAAATAAAAAGAATTAAAAGCAACACTTCGGTAGGCACATCCTTTTTACTACGTGGACACCATGTCAGAGACCCCTGCATACACACAATAATATCATCATCATATTATTATTTAATATTCCAATATTTTATTTTTCAATATATGTGTTTGCAAGTTCAAAAATATGTAGTGCTTTAGGCTTTGGAGGTTTATATATATATATATATATATGTGTGTGTGTGTGTGTGTGTGTGTTTGTGTGTTGCTAATCCAACTGCAATTTATTGTTATTATCTTTTCAATTATATTTTATTAAAATAATAATTTCTTTCTATTTCATTTAAAAAACCAAAAAACACTTTGGAAGTAATATTCTTTTTTTTATTGGAACAATATATATGTTTGTATGTATGTATGTACAGGGGGGGGGGGGGCAAGTTGTGGAGGCTATATCGAAATTGTGTGTGTATATATATATATACATATATATTCTCAAACTTCAAATATAAAGCTACAAATCTAAAAGTTGCAAACATACAAATAATGAAAAATAAAATACTTAAATACAAAATAATGATATGACAATGATATTACTGTGTGTGTGTATGTGTGAGGACGTGTGGTACATGAAATGTCCATCTGATGGTTCTCTTAATTAAAATACATATTATGTTATCAATAATAATCCATGAAACAACCACCTGTATTAGCAATTATATTAGTATATTATTTTTTTAATATTGCAGATTACCATTTGCAATTAGTTCTTCTGTTTTGTAAATTCACCATTTGGCAAAATCAACTGCATTTTAATTGAATAACAGCCAATGTACTTACTAGGAATAAAATCAATATAAAACAAAAGTTGAATAAAAATTAAGTACTTTTTTATCTTCTTAAATGCCATACATGCAATATATGAGCACATTGTAGCAAAACATAACATGTTTTATTGCTTCATCATCATTTCAAATGATAATTAACAATTAAAATGGATTTATATAATGTATGTATAAATGTATGTATGTATTAAAAATAATAGATTAATACCTCAACAAGCCAATCTAAAAAAAACTTTTATAATTATTAATTCAGCCAATTAATAATGTTATTTACTGAAGCTGCCACCAATGAAATTTAAAGGAATCATAATAAAGTTAAAAAAAATCAAGGCATAATTTTATATCACTTAATAAGGGTCTAATAATATTCTTGATGTTGACGGATTATTTTGGAAAATAATATATTTTTTTCAAATTTTACTCACAAGAAGTATTGTATTATCACTTATGCTTACCATTTTTGCTTATAGATTAGCAAATATCTTAAAATAAATCAAGGAAATAAATCACTAAGCTATGAAGCCTTATAAATCTTGAAAACCACCAAATTACCACCCAAATATAGAATGTAGAAAAACAACCAAGATTTATCAAAAACAATTGTAGTATTGGTTCATAGTACATTATTTTAAATTTCATAATACAAAATTATTATTCATTTCAAATTTAAGACACTTATGGAGTATTATTTAACCATATTGTTATCCATAATGGTGTTAAATCTTTACTCTAATCTAATCTCAGTGAGTTAAAAATTGTGTGACTTTGTAAAAATATATTGCTCAATCATAATTGTATGATGACGCTTTTATTCTCACATGTTATAAATTTAATAAGTTGTTACAATTTTTGGTGATTATTTAGTATACCATCAATAAATATATATATAGAGAGAGATTTAAATATATAAAAACAGAATCTCATATACAAAAATGTATGTATATATATATATATATATATATAATAGCAAAATTTAAATTTTAAAAATTAGTTATTTTGTTCTTTATTATAAAGTAACTAAATAAATAAATAAAAATAATATATATATATATATATATATATATAAATCTTGTTACAAATGAATGATATGATGTTTCTTATCCGATGGTTAATTACCTAGAAAGTTTCAAAACAAGAAGAAGAATATGCAATATTGTGTAGTAAAACATTATATTCATTAAGTAAGAAATTTTGAAGGAGGGAAAAAAAAGTTTGACAATATTTTTTCAGAAAATTATCCTTAAAAAACTATTTAGATTACAATAACAAAATTATTAATATATTAAAGATAATGAATAATTAAATAAGAACTAGAAACATTTTTTTTATAATATTAATTTCTACCAGTTAAAAATATCAAATTACATGAAAAACTAAGATATATTAGTGAGCAATTATAACTTAGTGATTGTGATTGAAACTGCAAAGAACCAGATCTTATGAATTTCTTGGAGATGTCAAACATACAAAAATATAAGTCTTTTTAAAAATAAACTACACTTAAAAAATACGTTACAAAAGTAAAATTAGTAAACGATTATGATATATATATATATATATATATATATACATGTATACTAAAACAAATCTTGGTTAAATTTATTCCCTATAAGATTTGAATAATTTTTTTATAAGAAAGTATTAATTTAAATGCAATTACTTTTAACCATGTGAAAGGACCATGTATTTTGTGAATTTTACAATATTTTAAAACAAAACTATCAAACTAAGTACAACAAGACAAAACTAAATACTATTTTAAATGGTTGAAACAACATGAGATATTGTAGCTATGCCTTATTATTTATACAGTTTACATATCATAAATTAACAAAATGATAAAAATTTATAAAAAGATTGTACTAAATTTTGGATATAAATTTAACTAATTTTACAAGGGAATGTTTTGTACCATTACAATATAAAATAATGTATTAAAATTATTTAGAAAAAAATCAGATTAACATAGGGATAAACAACACACTGCTGAAATTGCAAGAGCATTGAGACATAAAAATAACATATTGTGAGTAAAAAGTCTTAAACTTAATGAATTTATTTATAAAGAATTAATTTGATTTTATTGACAAGAAGACTTGTAGAAAAGAAACTGTATATGCAAAATAAAAAAATAAAAAATAAAACCAATAGAAGAACAATTAACAAGAAAAGGAATCTCAGACCAAACTAAAAAGACTAGTTTTTGTTGGATACAATTTGGCTCAACTATCTCACAATAGATATTAAAATTTTATGTAGACAACAACAATATAAGTATAAGCTTAGTAATATGTAGAATTTGATGTAAGATTAAATGATCCACCAACAAAACTTCTAAAAATATGTTAAAAAGTACTTAGGACTTTCTAGCAACTTGGGTTTATCATAAAGAAACCAAGACGATTGTTTGCAATGTATCTTAGAATACAAGTTAAAAAGTCATAAAAGTTGAGGTGGAGACCGTTTCAAGTACTCACTTGTGTGCATTATGGTGATGAGTGCAAGCAAAGTGGGCTCTAGTGGTGCAAAACGTCAATGCCACACAATATTATTATTATATTATTATATATCATATGAGAATCTACCCAGACATCAATATTATACACATAATCCAACAGTCTCCGCTACATCAGAGCAGTCAACAGCACGCAAATGCACGCTTCGCAAGACTAACCGAGCTTCATTTTCCCAGTCCAGAACACTGAAAGAACAATCCAAAATTCTCACACGACGACAATTTCGTGAGCAGTACCTGAGATTAGAACAGGAACGCGTTGCACTACTACTTCAACACCACTTCCACCACAAGACGCACCGCTTCTCGCATCCAACAGAACACTGCATACAAATGTCAAGTCCCACCACCAAGCCAAGCCCCGACTTCACACACTACCAGCGCTACAACACTCGCACATCAACTTCAGATACACACGCATCACCACTCCTTCACCAATCGTGTATCCAATCACCAAATTGACCTCCTCTCCGCCACGCGTAACCAAGACCCGGAACACACCACGTCTTAAACCGCCTCAAACTCTAACAACTCTCACGCCGAAAAGTGTCCGTCGTCAAGGATCGAAGAGTCCACAAACGAAATGCGCAGCGGCAAGTGTGAATGACGACACAAGCGCTGAGCAAGGTCGGCAAGACAATCAATCAATCAATCGAGGCGACAATGAAGAAGAAGCTGCGGAGGCAGAATCGGAGCAAAGCAGAGCAGAGACACATCCATACATACATACATACATACATACATACACATGGCCAAAGAAAGGCGGGGGGTAAGGGCGAACACACTTCTTACAAGCGCCATTTTCTTTATACTGCAAGCAAGCAAGCAAGCAAAGCAAGCCAGACGTGGTTACGGGGAATATCCAGTCCCCGCTCCTGGATCAGCCGGTGGACGCGCGGGCCGGGTGGACGGGGGGGGGCACTCACAGTTGGGGCGCCATTGGACGCTCTATTCCAAAGGTAGATTCCGGGATCCTGTCATGGCTGAGATTCAAGCATGCTTCTTCTTCTTCTGCTGCATTCATCCAAAACGGCATTCATTCATGTCTTCATCCATGTATACATTCATCCATCTGGTGGGGAGGGACAGGTGTGTGTTTTTATTTTACAATTCAAAGTCACCCACACACGTTTGAAGTTCTTTTTTTATCAACTCAGGGGAGGGATATATTTGGGTAGTGTGGGCATGAGGCTGGACAGCAGCGCGACAACGGTCGCGTCTCCGGCTTCGGAGAGCTTCTGGCGGGTGGGACTGTTGCAAACACGCGAAAGATCGCCTGCGTCCTTGGGAAGAATTGTCGACCGTGACAAGGAGGAAGGGCGTCGAAGGGAAGTGGGCAGGCGCAGGGAGGAAGAGCGCGAGAGAGCTCAGGAGAGAAAGAGAGATTTTAAACTTCATAGCCGAGACGTTAGGTCGCAAAGTATTCCAGCCACGACTTTGGCCTCTGCGCCTCCAGCTTATAGCTTGTGCCCTCCAACCTTTAGCGTCGGATATGCTCTGACTACAAAAAAGATCAAAAGCTTCATGCAGCCCAAACTAGAGGAACTTGCAAGGTATCTTACATCTTTGCGCCAATTGACATTGCTGGATAAGCTTTAGTGTCGGCGCTGACCTAGAGGAAGATTCTGCAATGGTTACCTTCCCCGGGTTGGCATGGCTGGGTGTTCCTTTAACTAAATTGTTCAACATATTTCGATCGCCGATTTTTGCGTGTCGTCGACGTTGTTTCAGCCTTGTATCTGTCGGCAGGTCGAAGGGGATTTTACTTGTGGCAATAGAACACAGCATACCATTGATTGAGCAAGGACCTTTTGACGTCTTACTACACAAGGTCAGTGGTCTGCAGATCAATGTGAATTTTTCGTGATCTTGAGAGGATAGGCGTGTTTTTCCGCTTCTGTTCGGAAGCGCATCTGCATCCTCTGCATGGTCAGCAGTTGCTTAATTGTAAGTTCTGTTCTGGGTCTAGTGACTTGTACGCGTAATCAACTTAGATTAGTTCTTTTATCAAATGGAACCAGACCACGAACAATGATGATGAAACTGTAGTGTCGTGTAGATGTTTCCCTTATTGTCAAGACTGAAATGGTGATATTTCCAGTCTGATATTTCACTATATGCTATGATTCGTTGGTAGTTCCCTATTTAGGCAACACTGTGGGGCCTTTTCAGTGTCCATGTAAAATTAAGATAGGTTTAGCTTGATTGTGTGCTTTATTGCAAAGCAACGATTCGAAAGGTCTATGTTGCCGAGATTTATTTATGTTGTTAGAGATGTGCATAATTTTGGCCAATTTCTTAGTCTAACAAGAGTTTTGGCGTTGGTTCGTTTGATCTATCATGTTTGCAGAACACAGGGCAGGAATGGCGTCAATCGCTGGAGGTAAGAGTCGAAATGGCTGATTGAAATGGAATAGGTTTATGAATATTTTCTTTGAGATAATGACGGAGACGCTTCTAATTGCAATCTGTAACAAAAATGGTTTTAGGAATTGTTAATACATTGGGAACTCTTCTCATATTTGTCTCTGGCAGGGTTTTGAGACTCTGTTGATGCTTGCAGGACTACAAGAGAAAGTATCCTGATGTCGTTGTGCTGGACCCTCCTGAGGCCATTTTACAGTTGCGGGATCGCCAATCCATGCTTCGGGATGTGGCAGAGCTTGACCTAAGTAATGCTGAAGGTAATTCTGGTACTTAACCCTCTGAAAGGAACAATTTAGGTCATGTAACCCTAACAACCTATGATCGTGTAAAATAATATAATGTGTACTATGACCACATAATTTATTTCAGTTTTACCATCTGTTTGCAGGGCAAAAATGAACCAACAATCCTTAGAAACATCTATAATTGCGGGTAGGTTGAGTGCAGACCTACCTGAGACTATTCGATTACTTGTACTTAAAAAGTTACAATAAATTGGATCTTTGTCATTGAGTGTTTGTGGTGGATGCTTTTCAGGTTTCGTTGGAGTTCCGAAACAGCTAGTGGTTACTGGCAATGCAACCTCCATTTCTGACTCTGTCTCTGCAGCTGGCCTTAAGCTTCCCCTAGGTCAGTGTGGTGTACCTAGAGATAATGTGATGAATATCATTTACTCATTGGTTGCACATAGTACAAATATGAGCTATGGGTGTGATAGTCACATGCCGTACTAGTTGGTTAGCATGTTTCCTAACTCTCTTTGTGCGGGCGAATGTGTGCAGTGGCGAAGCCGCTGGTTGCAGATGGATCCCCAAAGTCACATGCCATGTCTTTGGTTTACGACAAATCGTGTTTGTCACAGTTAGATCCACCTCTAGTTCTACAAGAGTTTGTCAACCATGGTATGCGAACTCTTCCTTCACATCAGTACTCTGTCAATATGTTGTTTAATTCTCACCTTAATTTGCGCTTCAGGGGCGAATGTCCAGCTGTAGGAACTGGGATCACATGTTCAGCACCTCTTCCCTGTTGCCGTTTGCAGGGGGTGTAGTATTCAAAACTTACGTAGTCGGGGACTACGTTAGAGTAGTGCGGAGGTTTTCCTTACCGGATGTTCCTGAAGGGGAGACAAATCGAAGTGGTGTAGTGCCTTTTCCTAGAGTATCCTGCGCAGCTGAATCCGCTGAGGAAGCTGAGGAAGCTGGCATATTGGATCCTCAAGCAGCTGGTACATTTCATTCCTCGTTTTGATTCAACTAATTCTTTGTTTGGAATTGTCTAGGTAGTTATGTAATATGGAACTGATTATGTTTAACACTAAGGTTTGCTACTTTTTTTATTTCTGTTTTGTCTGTTTCTCCAGAGTTGCCACCTGGGCCGCTGCTGGACAGCCTTTCCAAAGGACTTCGCCAAAAGCTGGTAAATTCGCTGGGGCCGTCATGATTTTCTTCCTACAAGCACACGATACCTCATTCCAACGTAGCTAAAATATTACCTTTCATCCTCTCTATTCAGTAGATGGACAGTCAAATGACTTTGCTTAGGTTATATGTGTGGTTGGAGATCGCACTGGTATTATTCGTCGCGTAATTGATCTGCACAAAAGTGTCGATGGTGTATCAGAAAGACCCTATGATCGAATGTACCCTGATTGAAAACCTTATTCGACCCTAAGTAATTGAATGGCTGGATTGACAGGGTCTTCACCTATTTAATATGGATATAATTCGAGAGAGGGGAGCAGGAAATCGGTACTATGTCATTGATATCAACTACTTTCCAGGTAATAACATGCTTCTGAATTGTAAACCCTAATCCAGCATGAATCACGCATACTACAATTTTAGAAAACCCCTTCAAGGTCGAACCCTTCCATACTACCCTATTTTTAGCAATTGTTTCCACATTCTTGTCATGTATGTTGATTGGTGAATATGGTTTAGTGCATACTAATATTATCGGTGGTGCATTCTAAACTTTTAATATGCTTGTATCATGCAGGTTTTGGTAAAATGCCTGATTATGAAAAGGTATTCACAGACTTCTTGTCAGATATGGCGGTAAAGAGAAGCAAGAAAATATCTAGAATTGATTCGTCTGCTATCCTCTGAAATACTGACTGGCAGTGGGCATTATTCTCCCAGGCTCTATACGAGCCCCTTCATTATAGTAGCATGCTTTGCTGTTCAGACTGCACATTCTGCAAAGAATAATTCTTTTGTAAATATATTGTAGACGTCAACTAGGACTCAGAAAACGTGACATGAATGTATGTCTATTTAACAGTTTTTCTTATATGCCAAAATGTTATCACTGACTGCATGTCATAATTTTTTGAGAATGTTTAGAAAGACACAAGAGTAGATATAAGTAATACACACAAGAGGGTGTCTAAGGAAAGAGAGCTTTACACACAAAAATCTATTGATTTGGTTTTGGTTGTATGTCATAATTTGTTGAGAATGTTTAGAAAGACACAAGAGTAGAAATCAGTAATATACACAAGAGGGTTTCTAAGGAAAGAGAGCTTCACACACAAATCTATTGATTTGGTTCTGTCTCATATACAAGAGGAGAAAGAGAAGAGGATAAACACTTCTTCTCCACTATATTCGAAATATTGCAGCTATGGTATTTATTATAATCTATAGTTATATTTAAGCTATAGTTACATTTAATACTCTCAACACTCTTCCTCGCTCATCATAATATTTACATAATATAAAATTTGTATAGAATTATGATCTATACTGTTTAGTAATCTTGGAAGATCAACAATTGTTGTTTTGTTAAAACATTATCTAAGAAAACCTTATTGTATTTAAGGACAAAATCATAGATGAAGGAAAAAGAGTACAACATTATTTTTCTTAATTATTTAAAGAGCTCATTAACTTTCTTATTCAAGAAAAGTAAGTCGCCGCATACCTATGCCATAAGTAAGTTGACAATGGTTGTACAATGGGAGAGCTTTGGTGAAGAGATTAGCAAGGTTATTTGCAAATTCAATTTTCTTAATTACAAGTGCTTAATCAGTTATCAAGTCATAGATATAACTAAATTACTTTGGATCAATATGCTTTATCTTGTCGCCTTTAATGAAACCAACTTATATCTGTGCAATACAAGCACTATTATCTTCATGGAAGATAGTTGGAGAATCATCATATGAAAATCCACAAATTGTTTGAATGAATTTATCAATTGATTGCAACCAAATACATTCTCGAGATACTTCATGTAAGGCAATAATTTTTGTATGCTTGGATGAAGTTGCAGTTATTGTTTGTTTCACTGATTTCCATGATATTGCAACTCTATGACAAAAATACATATCTTGTTTGAGATTTAGTTGTTGCAGTATGAGATTTATATCCTCCATCACAATATCCAACTAATTTTGGATTTGCAAATTGTGTGTAGTTTAATCCTAAGTCTTCAATACCTTTTAAATATTATAATAAATATTTGATGCCATTCCAATGTCGTAGTATTAGACGTGCACTATGTCTTGTAAGAACACTAATTGCAAATGCAATATTTGGTCTTGTGGATGTAGCCAAATATAAAAATACTCTAACCGCTACAAGGTATGGATATTGATCTCCCAATATTTCATCCTCCTCTTCGCATGGACGGTATGGATCATGACCATCACGACCACCTCCAACCATTGGTGTGGACAATGGATAAGCATCAATCATATTAAATCTTTGCAAGATTTGTCTAATATACATTAGTTGGTAGAAAAAAATGCTACCATCTATTACATGCATAATTTGAATACCAATGCAGAAAGTTATTTTTCCTAGCATTTTCATGTCAAATTCACATATAAGTATGTTAGTAGCTATAACACATGCAAATTTAGTGTCCACTAGATTAAGATCATCAACATATACAATGATGATCATAAAACCAGTTTTATCTTGTTTGATAAACAAACAAGGGATTAGTGGATCACTTACAAACTTATTTGTAATTAAATAATCTCAAAGATATTGATACCACATGCGTTGAGATTATTTTAAAGCATATAGGACCTTACATAATTTAATACTATGATATTATCTTAGAGCAGGTCCATTTGGAATTCTTGTTTTTAAGCGAGGTGGAACTTTCATATAAATATTTGTATTAAGAGAACCATATAGATATGCAATTACTACATCCATTAGATGCTTCTCAAGGATGGTATGAACTGTTATTCCAATAATATATCGAAATGTAATTGAATCCATGACTGGAGAATATGTGGATTCATAATCAATGCCAAATTGTTGAGTAAATCCTTAAGCAACAAGACAAGCTTTATAGCGGATTATTTGACCTTGAGCATTTCACTTGCATATTAATACTATCTTATATCCCACAAGGCGAGATGTAAGAGTATCTACAATTGGACCAAAGACTTTCTTCTTATGCAAAGAGGCATACTCCTCCTCAATAGCAGTTTTCTATTTTGATCAATCAGAACAATGCATCGCCTCCTCAATGGTTTGAGGTTCAGGATCCTCTTCCTCACAAGAAAGGGCTTCTATAATCATACATGCAAATGATTCATCTACTGTAAAAGATGGTATGTGCCAAATATCATATATAGTACAATACAAAATAGATAATTCTTTACTCAACTTGTTCTTATTCCTTCCAATTCTAAGATTGTTTTTTACAAGAATTGAAGGTACATTATGCATGGATATATCATCATGAATTGGTAGTCCCGCAAGATGAGTGGCAATTTCTTCAGAAATAATACTAGAATTAGTCAATATTATAGCTTTCTTCTTATATGGTTGCTTATCTGGTCTACAAGTTATATTAGTTGTTGTTGTTATAACTTGAGGTATTGTAGTTAATGGCACTACAATCTGAGCAGGTGCATTTTGAGCCTCATTAATAGGAACTCTTGTAATTCTAAGTGCATCATTGAAGCCATCGGGTATTTCATCTACGATCCGTTTTAGATGCAAAATCTTAGCAACTTCAGTTTCTACCAAAGATGTCCTAGGATCGAGATTCATTGTAAACGTTTCCAATGCTTCAAATACAAGTACTTTATTTCTTTATTGATTGGATATTCTTCTTTGAAGAGATGGAGATACATTTTCTTCAAAACGACAATTTTGCAAACATGCACATAATAATGTGTCAGTTGATGGATCAACAATACAAATAATGCTTGGTGAATCAAAACCAACATATATGCCTTCTTGTCAATAAGCTCTAATAGTACGTCATTGAGGTTCTAGTATTGGAATCTAAGCATGGCAATCAAATACTTGTAAGTGAGATACATTTAGAACACGACCCAAAATGAGCTCATGTAGTGAAACAATTTCAAGAAAAGAAAGGCGGATGCATATTAATGCTGCAGCATGTAAAACTGCATGATTCCACATAGATGTAGGTAAATTTGCGTGAAAGAAAAGTGGCCGCGTAATGAGTTGTATATGCTTTATAAATGACTCTACAAGTCCATTTTGAGTATATTCATATAGAATAAAATATGTCAACTCAATTCCTGTTATAGTATAATAGTCTTCGAAAGACTTTGATGTGAATTCTTTTGCATTATTCATATGCAATATTTTTCTAGGATAATCAAAAAAATATGTCCAAAAATGAATAAGCATAGATATAAGATTTATAAATATCATGTTTTGAATTGATAACAATACAACATGTGATTGTTTACTTGATATATTAACAAGGACCAATAAATAACAAAATGGCCATGATATTGGATTAATAGGACCACAAATATCACCATGCAATCTTTCAAGCATTGGTGGTAATTCTTGTGGAAGTTTCCAAATTGAAGGGCGAATAATTATCTTACCTTGCATGCATGCACAATATAATTCTATAGAATTTATATCTATAGATTTTAAATTATGCCTAATTATACATGGAATGATCTTTCTAAATAATATAGATCTTGAACTCGATTCTCTGTGATAGATGATGCAAAATTAAATATAATGGGAGGCCAAATCATAATTCACTATAAACCATTTTTTGTAGCAAAAGCTTTTTCAACAACATTATGGTTCTTCGCAAGAACCAAAACCTCTTTTCTATTTAAAATGGCGGTCGAGAGGTAATAACCATTGATATGCACATCTCCGTAGCTGATCAGATTCCGAGGTGCTAAGGGTGCAAACATCAAATGTTTACATTTTATGATGGAATTTGTAAGTAATTTTACCATTGCTTTGTCCTTTTGGAAACAAAATGCATTTACTCTAGTCATAGTCATCATATTTTTAGTTTGCCAAGTATCAAGGACAAGAACATGATAAAGACAAATAAACAAGTGAGACTTCTCATAGAAAGATAATAAAATAGAAATAACTTGATATATGTATATATTAAGAAAGAAACTGGAATGGCTATTGTCAAAAGCCAAGAAAACTAGAGATCCTTGAAACTAGACTAGAAGCAAGAAAGGAGTTGACAAGAGTGAAGAAGGCTTCACTCTTGTCTCTATATATACTCTCTAATTAGGGACTATGTGGCGACGTTCTATATGACCATGTAATTATTGGCTTACATGCATATGTTAGTGATATTACCCCTCCTTCTAGGGACGAGTTCCACGAGGAGCAGTAATCATATGTTGAGAAAATCTATGATGTAACGAATTGTATTCACCACATACTCTAAATTTGTTCTCTTCAAAGATGATTGATAGGGCCTCTCAACTATCAGTAGTGTTCCATACCAGGGCGAGAAGACCACACAATTATTTGATCATTGTTGAGGCCTTCATAACTTCCTTCGAATAAAACATTTAGAATACCATCAGGAGTTGTTCCTACCTCTAGTAAAATCACCAAACATCGGAAGTCCCTTCCAAGGTCGTGATACCAAACGCGTTGTATCTTGCCATCTATTCGAGGAAGAACATGTCGTTCTTGAAGATTTTCATCTTGATTGCATCATCTTGAAGGTTGTGATAATTGTAATCTCTCGTCCGATGTCATACTGTAAATAATTACAATATGTAAAAATTAGTTAAAATATATTATATGTTAATAAATCTAGATGTGTGTTAGAGTGGCTAGTAGATTAAATTAAAAGGAGTTGGTATAAGAAACTTTACTTTGTTTCTTTACTTGTTTTGATTTTAACATTAAAAAGAATATATGATCTAAATATTTAGTATGAAGCCTTGGGAGAAGGTAGAAGCCTAAGGATGAAAATCTAAACTAGTAGGAGGCTAATTGGGAGGGATGAAAGCAAGGCATGGTTGGATGAAGGCAAGGAATGAAAAACTTCATTCCTATTGGTCGAAGGCCATGCCCAATGGGC